AGGCAAGTTTTTTTCAGGTTTTTTTTTAATGCAACCCTAGAATACACGTCTCACATAGGGACTTCCGCCTTCAGCCCCAGACCGGAAGTGCGCCCGACGCGCGACCATCGCGCCGTGACGTAACAGAGATGAGTTCGTTGGTTCGTGTATAGCCAGAACATAATTTCGGCGACATATTCGCCTATACATGAACTCATCTCTGTTACGTCACGGCGCGGTGGTGGCGCGTTGGGCGTAACAGAGATGCTCCTCAATACAAAAACCAAAAGGCCCCTCAGAACCAAAACCGACAGACTCCGCACGTAACCCGTAACAAAAAAGAACAGGTCACAACGAGTCGACAAAGGACGTAAGGAAAAACCCGAACAGCGAACTTTTCCCTATACTTGGCAAGGTCAAACTTTGTACCTACAGGTTGCCTCAAGCTTGAAACACAAAAGCTTACCCCAAGCTTGAAACACAAAAGCACTAATCACAAACGAGCGTGTTGGGGACGAATTAAGTAAGTGCTTATACTTTCTTTACACGTCTAAGAAACAAGGGAGTTTTATGTGTTGTTCCAATAATTCCTGTAAGGATACCCGATACTCCTCTGTCGTTTTTGTGCATGCATAGTATCGTTATTGGGTATCGTTACCGAGCACAAAAACCGTCTAAAAGAACTCCCTACCGTTTATCGTTTTTCTAGTGAAATTAAAGACGACGTTAGCAAGGAGAAGCAAGCTAACTAACCTCGAAGGGAAGGGAAACAGAGGTCGTCTTCGCTCCCTCAGCTCCCCTTGATAACCGGTGATTTCTTCAAGCAGACAGAGCCAGTGAGGACGCCTTCAGCGAACATCAAACATAGTCTTTGAGATGAATAGAGGCAGGTTCTTAATTTTGTTTTTGTTACAAAAGAAGGGTCATTTTGAAACAAGGTCTGGTGGGAAATGCAAGATGGGAGGACGGGTAAACAGCTCGTCCACACTTCTAGACGGGGAACACAGCCTGTCAGAAAAACTGGACATCGCCGGCTCATCTGACAAAAAGGTGCAATGCCAGGCTCTAAAGAGCGTGGGAAAGTAAAAGCTCTTTGAGTGAACCGACGATACGTGCCCCAGAACAGCACAGCGACGAGCATGAAAAAATTTAAAGGAACGCGGCAAGCCCGGTTCAATAGTTTTCCATGTTTTAAAAATAACAGGCTTATTCAGCTCTTTGCGCACCTCGTGTGTTTATTTACCCCTCAGACGCTCTGATGTACCGCTATTTACACCTCGTTTTGACCAATGACGGCGCGCGCTTTTCTGTCTCATCTTCGCGCGTTCTGTGCGCGCCCTTTATGTTTCCCGCTGATTGTTGTGATATTCTTCGTATTTACTTCTTTTCAATGGGTGACGATAACGTTCGCAAGCGCGGAAGACACGTGTTGGTACCCCTTCTTGCACGTCGTATAAACACTTACTTCGAATTTGACTTCGACCTCGACCGCGCACCTTGTTTTTCATTGGTAGCCTGCTTGCAACAGATGGATGACGGTGATGACAACGCAATCGCGGTTTGCTTGTGGTCCTGCGTGATGGGCTCTCACTTCCGATCGAAGTGAGAGCCATTCGTATCGCTCCGACGCTGTTGAAAAAACTCAGCAGACCTTTGAATGAGTCACTTGCTCAGGAAAATAACGAGGAGACGAATGTCTAAGCGCTTATGTAAGAAGAGTTGTCTCGATTTCAAATGAAAAGCACTCCAGCAAAATGTGGTCGATATGGTTCGTATGCAAAACTAGCTAGCGTAAGAAAAATAGATAAATTCAGAAATGGGGACGGACTATCTGTCTCCCCCCTTGGAAAAGATTTATGTCATTTTATCAAGAATCTTTGAACACTCGTACTCCGCCTTCGCGTTCGAAGCGCTGTTCACGGAGTAAGGCTAGGCTGCTTAGTGGATTGAGTTTCGCCACGTGTTCGTCGCATATTTTTTGATGGGGTCCGGGTTTTACAGACAAGTATCGTGCCAGTAGCTGACTTTTGCTCAAATAAACAGAAACAAAAACCCCTTTAGTCAATATTCACGTTCAACGGAGATCGAAGAACTCTGTTCGTATTCCTAGAATTCAAGAACTCAGGCATATGCACGACTGTGATGAAACCTATTATCGGCAACAGCAAGCGAAGTCCACCACCTAAACACCACGTAAAATTCTCTCCGCCTGTTATTGCAACGGACAGGTCCGCGCGCTTGTTAGGAAACGTGGGCGACAAACCGTGATGCCAATCGGCTGCTTCCTCACATTTTTAAAATTATCATAATTCTCTGGCATATGGATAAAACCCGTAAACTTTCGTGATTTTTCTAGAATAGAGTCAAGCCTTCCCGAGATCTTAGATGCTAAATAGCGTTTGAAAAAATCCGGAAGCGGCCGAAACAGATCAAATCCGGCGCACGCTTTTTCGTGTGGACGGATAAAAACGAGCGTATGCCGCATATTACCAGCATCAGAATATCTGTAAGCATTATTAAGCGAGAGCGAGAAAACAAACATTGTATACTCGGTGAGGGTCACACCAGTACTCGCGTAAAAGCTCCGGGAAGACGGTTTTATTTGTGTTTCCTTGAGGCGTGCGCGCACGCACGCGCTTACAAAAGACAAAAACATGGGCGCACGGACGCACGCAGATGCAATCAACGCGAAGAGAAACCCTCCCGTGGCAGAATAGCACAGTGGCAAAACGACACCTTCCCCGGCCCCCCACACACAATGACACACACAGACACACACCGAAAGGAGGAGCCGCCAAGCCGCGCCGCGTAAACGGAACCCCACGGCCATGCAGGAGGCTCAAACGTCTGCCGCGCACAGACAAAGCCCCCCTAACGTTCGCTAAGCTGCACGTGTACTACGCGACGCGGGTACGCACGCACGCAGTATCGCGGCAGAAGAGCGGAGGCCCGCCAAACTCGTTGGAGTCGCCGCTGAGTCTGTGCCGGTCCAAACATCCCCCCCCCCCTCCCCCCCAATCCCCATCTGGGAAGCGCTGGTGCCGCTTCGTCTGCAATACACAGTCCCCTCCCCATTTCCGATTTCGCGCTTAAGCCGCGCACAGTCGCACACGCAAAATGTCACATCCTCTCTCAAAGTCCTCCAAAGCAAACGCCCCTGCAGCTGCTCCCCCCAAACGTTACCAGACCACCCCTACGAATCTCGTACTGGCCTCTAACAGAAGTTCCTTCCAAGTTTCTGCTCCGTCTACACTCTATACTAACCGCCACAGCATGTTTGTGCGTGTAAGGGCACCAACATGCTGCAGACACTACCAAATGTCAAGTCGGCTATCAGTCGCCAAGAGTACGCACACGCAAGCAAATCCATACCAACATCTCCTGAGTCCTGACTCCTAGTTCACGAACTCAGTCCCCATCACACCACAAATTCAGTTCACGAATTCATTCACCATCACATCACGTATACACCAGAGTGACGAAGTCCTTCACCACAGCATCACTGGTGCGTCGGAGTTCACGAGGTCACTCCCCGTCACATCGCGGCTCCTTCCGAGTTCATGAAGTCACTCCCCTTCGCATCACGACTCGTTCCGCGTTCACGAAGTCACATCCACTTCACATCACGGCTTCTTCCGAGTTCACGGAGTCACGCCTGTTCACATCACGACTCCTTCCGCGTTCACGAAGTCACATCCCCTTCACATCACGGGTTTTTTCGCGTTCACGGAGTCACGCCCATTCACATCACGACTCCTTCCGCATTCACGAAGTCACATCCCCTTCACATCACGACTTGGTCCGAGTTCACGAAGTCATTCACAGCCCTTCACCATGACGCGGTGAGCGTGAGTGAGTGTGAGTGAGCGAGTTCGTGAGTGACTTCGCCGAGGTATGGTCATCAGTGATGATGACGATGCGGATGCCAGTGACGACATCAGTGACGTCACTGATGACGTCATCAGTGACGATGACGATGCGGGTGTCGGTAACGTCATCAGTGATGATGACGATGCCGGTGACGTCATCAGTGATGATGACGATGACGATGTGGATGCCGGTGACGTCATCAGTGATGATGACGATGTGGATGCCGGTGACGTCATCAGTGATGATGACGATGTGGATGCCGGTGACGTCATCAGTGACGATGACGATGCGGATGCCGGTGACGTCATCAGTGATGATGACGATGCGGATGCCGGTGACGTCATCAGTGACGATGACGATGTGGATGCCGGTGACGTCATCAGTAATGATGACGATGTGGATGCCGGTGACGTCATCAGTGATGATGACGATGACGATGTGGATGCCGGTGACGTCATCAGTGACGATGACGTCATGGGGGGGTCACGCGACATCGGCGGGGGTCACGTGACCTCGAGGAGGGGGTCACGTGACCTCAGGAGAGTCACGTGACCTCGGGGGGGGGGGGGGGGGGGGGGAGGGGGTTACGTGACCCCCCACGAGGTCACGTGACCCCGGTAGGGGGCTCGTGCGGTACATTATGGGACATTTCCGATGATGCATCGCGCGGTTACGCCGACGGCGACGCCGCTCAAGCCGGAAACGGGCCCCTAAGAGCTGCGCTCTAAAAGTCTCCCGACATAGAGCAATGGCAGTAAGGCGGGGGCTGTCGCTAGAACAGTTCGAAAGGAGGTTGTGATTGGTGAGAGATATCTTTTGCAGCTAGTTCACCGCCCCAACTATACTTAGTTTCACCGCAAGTGAGAGCACAGCCAACACGACAAGCCGATGAAACCACTCGAGCAGCTCCAAAAAAGCAACATTGCAGCATTCGTTGTCTTGCGGCGCGTGTGCCATCGCTGGTTAAATTGATCAATCACGGTGAATGTGCCGTGACTGTGTGTTTCTAGCTTGTGCGCCGGTGTTTGTATTTCTTTTAGCCTTTGAGTTCACTGTGACTTTGGGTGAATTAATTATAGACATTGCCAGTGTCTATAGAGTCCCGTAGGTTAATCGGCGCTTCAGAGAGCTGTGCGTGGGTGACTGTGCAGGTGCTGCAGCAGATGCAGGACATCCCCCTGAACCTGACGGTGTTGTCTCCCGGCCACACCCCCAACTGGGACCTGATGTCGGACGTGGTGAACGCGGTCAGCCGCATCTACCGCTCCCCCAAGCAGTGCAAGGACCGCTACGAGACGGTCATCGTGCCCAGGGAGGAGGGCAAGATACTCTACGACACCAACCCCAAGAAGCAGAAGAAGACCAAAGGCATCTACAAGGTGGGGGTCCCTCTCTTCCTCGCTGCCTGCCCGCCGATGCCGAACCTCGCCTCCGATCTCTGCCGGGAGAAATGCCAAAAGTCGGAGTGGGGAAAAAAAAAAAAAGAAAAAGCTTGGTCCATAGTGTACATTTCTTGGGTGTCAAAAGACTGGAATTCAAGAAAAATTCACGAGCCATTCCACTCTGTGAAGGTGGATCTCAGACCCCCCCCGAGGAGTTGGAGGAAAGTAAACCCGCATGACGGGACCACCACCCCGGGAGAGCAGAAGGGAAGGAAACTATCCCAGTTGAAAATTCACATTAGATTCCATTTGGAATTTCCCATTGGTACCAGTTAGGTGTTTGGACAACCAGTTGGTCACTGCCAAGAGGAACCAATGGAAACCAACAAAAACCATTTGGAACCCATTTAGGTTCCAACTGGAAAAATTATTCCAATTGGTGAGACCCATTGGCTAGTGTGCTTCCGATTGGAACCCACTAAAATCAACTGGTTTCAATTAAAACCAGTTAGAATTCCAATTGGATCTAAAGGGAATTTTTGGCCTTGTAGGCACGCAAGTGCTTGGAACAACGACAAAAAGAGGGTGGTGTGAGTGCAGACATGGCCGATGCAGGTCGCACAGTGGCAAATGTTTGAGAAACCTTTATTAAGTAGCACTGTGTCTGTGTCTTCCTTTCTGTCCGTTGTCCTGTTGCGCTTTTTAACCATTATGAATCACCAACTCGCCCAACACTCCACCCTCGTCAGCTTTATTATCTACCTGAGAGTCTACTGATCTTAAAAATGGTGCCTATTGATAACTTATCTACTCAATAGACTTATTGCTAAATTACCCTAGCATTAAGGAGAATGCAGGGAATGGTGTTCCACGCGTTGCACATGCCGGCGTCTGCAGCAGTAACTGTTCTAAAGCAAAAGCTTAAAACAAATGGCATCTTGCACGCACGTTCGTCAATGCTTTATTTTGGTTATTTACTTCGGATTTTTTATACGGGGAAGGCGGTGAAATCGTAAAGTTCTTAGTCGCTGCACACGAAAAATTTGCAGAACCGTAGCCATAAACAGCTTCGCTGTAAAAAAGGCAAAAAACCGCATTTCCACGTGGTGAATGATGTTGATTGGGGCGAAGCTATGGTGGTGCTTGTCTGCGTAGACGCTGAGCCGCAGCATGCCAAGCTTTTCGTTCGTTTTTATCCATGTCACGCTGCGGTCAAATGCTCAAATGCGTATATAACCACGTTCCATACCACACATTCTCTCTCTGACGTGGATGGAAACGAACGAAAGGCTCGGCATGCTGCGGCTCACCGTCTACGCGGACAAGCACCATTAGAGCTTCGCCCTTATCAACATCATTCACCACGTGGAGATGCAGTTGTTTTCTTTTTTTCCCCTATACGAGCACGTGAGCTGACGAGCAGGAGCATGTGCACCCGATGGCGGACGGACATACGGACATGGCTAGCCCCTAAGGAGCTTCGCCCCTAAAATCTGTTTTCACTGTCTGGTCTGTCAAGTGTATGTTTTGTAGCTCAGTGTCCTCGTTCATTGGGGGGCCACTGAGGGCTCTGGCATCCGGCGGTTTAGCTCACTGTTAGCGGTCTTAACAACTTTATACATCTTATAGTGTGCAAATGCAACGCTCGTAACAATTGCGCGAGATGACGTGACAGTATCGAATTAAAGCATTTGGTTCTGTCGTGTTGTCTTACGTGCCGAATGTAAATGGGTGTGTCGCCGGAGAAAACGGTTTTGGGTTGTTGCACGAGCCAAACAAAGGTCCCACGTGCATCAGGATCGCTTCGGTATTGTGTGTCAAACCTTCGCTCGAGCACACGGGCAAGAGTCGTTGAAACAAGACACGGATGGTTTTGGAGGCTGCCTTCTGAACATTGGTTGGAACTTGCCGACAGGGCAATTTTTTCAATTATGTCTCGCGTCCCCTAACCTGCACCTCTTGGACCGGATTGCAGACAAAGAACAACAAACCAATGCGGACGAGCCAGCTGTTCTCCCAGGATTGCAACCAGGCCTTCACAGCGCTGTACAGCACCCGGTTTGAGACGATCCGGGCGGTGGCGGCTAAGCGGACGCCAACTCTGAAGCCCCACTTCACCAACCCGATGGCCAAAAACCCCAAGCACGCGGCCGTGCTGGCTGAGAACGGCATCAACTACGACCAGCCCCTGAGCCCCGTCAAGTTGGCCGCGCAGCGGGCCGAGCGCATTGCCCGCGAGAAGCAGAAGAACCAGGTGGCCGCCGCCGTGAGTTGACTCTTTCTTGTTGTGGTCTTCGTGCGGGGGTTGGTTCAGCAATATTTCTTTTACACAGAGTTTCGTGTTTTTGGATAAATCTGCTAAAACCCAAAAAATACTCGCCAACAAAATTTTAGCCAGTTGGGATTTACCCAAACAACTCTAATCTCAAGGTCACGACGGTGATGAAAAAAAAAAAAGACGGAATTCCACAAATAAATTGGTGCGAGCCTTTCAAGATGCCCTAGACAATTTCCAATTCATCCGAGCTGCCCAAATCGGCAACGAAAAATTATTTGTCAATGCCGCGGATTAGGGTACCTTACGTGAAAGTCTCCTCTTGACTTGAGGGACTAAATTTTGGGGCGAAAGGTCAACGATATCAGTCGCCGACCCGATTTTTCGGACATCGCAGTGACCGAAAAACGCCCAAATAATAGAGCAGTCAGAAAAATCAGCAAATTAAAAAACTTGCCTTTACTATGTCTAAGCAGGTTTAAAGAAGCCGTCAATGGTGCCTTGCTTCAGGTTACTCCTCCGCTTCTGCTCGGTCACTTTCTATTAGCTCGAGAATCACTGCCTTCTTTTCTAGCATTATGGTCGAGTACTTTCTGCACGACACTTCGCGGTAGCGGAAGAACGGATGGGGCCATGATGTCCAAGCCAGCCTCGTACAAAAACACAATTCACTAAAACAAGGTGAGGGATGAGAGGCACAAATCCACGGCTGCAGAATGGCAAATGAATAAAGAAAATGTTAACGGTAAAAATAATTTCATGTGCTGCTAAAGTATGACTTGAGTACGACTTAGCAGTACTCAAGTAGTCCTGCCAAACCAAGCCAATCCATCTGCAGCCAAAAATAAAATCTAAAATGGTTGCTTCTTGGCAGTGTTTTTTCATGATTGCTCGCCACGATTTTGTGTGAAACATCAAACTTTCTAACTTCTAGCTGTCCGAAACATTGGTTGTGAATGTGCACTCGTTTCTGTTGGGTAGGTCACGCTTCTCCATTTAGGTCCGAAATATTGAACATGTTGGAATTATCGGTGTCCAAAAAATTTGTCGGTGACTGTATGACAATTAATGGTAGTTAGACAGGAAAGTAGTTTTCAGCGAAACAAGCGAGACATGTGGAACCAAGACCCTGGAAGCTTGCCATTCCTGTTAGGCCACAGTGTTGCCAGCAGGATAATACCATACCCCTGGAGCCGTTTCGGTGGTGCCGAGGCGAAGCGTCGGCCTACGGTTTGGCAGGTGGCTTGTTTGAATCCCGGCCGAGGTGTCCGCAGTCTGACGGAGGTGTATTGCAGACTGTGTAACTATGATTTCAGATGTGCACCAAACAATCCCCAAGTGGTCAAAACTAATCCTCGGTCCTCCGCTGGGGCGTGCCAGATGCTCTTCGTTGGTTTGGCACGTAAAACTCCCAAATTTGACTTCGACCATACCCTGACATAGAAGCGCTCTGCCAGTCATAGAGAGGGAACATGAATTGGTAGTACCCATAGCCTAAAAATTGCTTGCCAGAGTGGCATTTTGGGATCTTTAGAACAGAACACATGAATAGTATTCAATGCAGTGAGCGTGGACGCCCCTTTCTTAAAAGAATGTTCAGATCAGTTTGAGATGGAAGCTTGTTCACCACTGTCAACTTTCCAGTCTGCAAATTGAAGAAACTTCTTTGGTTCATTCCACGCCGGTTCTGAAGTTGCGTGTCTCCCTGTGCCAGGTGGCTGCGGAGGCCCAGCGGCAGCAGGCGCAGGCGGGCGGCGCGGCGGCCACGCCGGTGGCAGGAGTGGCGCAAGTGGCGGCCCCAGGTTCGGCGGCGGCGGCCCTGCTGGCCCAGCAGCAGGTGGCCACCCAGGCGGTGCTGGCCTCCCTGGGGCAGCCGCAGCAGCTACAGCCGGGGACACAGCTGCAGAAGGTGAGGACCCCTCCCCCGAGAACCTTTTGGTACGGGATTGGTGCCAGGGATTACCGTGGCCACCGTGCTCGGATAACCCCAGCAGCGTTTGCGACTCTAGTGAATGGTAGAAATGACGTGTGGGGTTAAATTATGTCCGTCCCTCACTCAGGGTGTGACCACGGTGGCCCTGGCCAAGTCCCTGGGCACTGCAGGAGGCATCCTGGTGAGCACTGCGGTCACTACCACGGCCACCACCGCCTCTGGCGGAGTGGTCACGGCTGCGCCCACCTTTGCTCTGACCAAGGTGCCTGTGAGTGCAAGCCTTTTTACCCCTCTCTCGTTCACTCATTGACACTAGCACTCCCCGACAGTTCCTGTGCAGATTGGATGGCTCTGACACAGTTGCATTAATTTCTGAAACTTGTTTTTCTGATCACAAGGACTACAGAACTTCTTTGTTGAAGTTATTGATGCAGTGTGGAGAGGAAAAGTGCTTTGAGCGTGTGCGCAAATGTTACTCTTGGCTGTAAACGTGGCGAAAAACTCGTCTTCACTCGACAAGACTAAAACTGAAGTGTAACTAACATTCCCTTATCCTAACAGTAAGGAACTTCTTAGAAATGGAAATTTAGTGAAGGTTCTAGTTTTGTATTATATAAATGTTATTCCAGACATTACTAACTTGTAGGAGTGTAGAAATATCAGACATCTTCTAATATGTATCAAATATGAATAGGGTAGTAAATTAACTTTGAATACCAAATTAGTTTTTTTGTATGTGATTGCGCAGCTGCGTAGAAGTTGCTGCTGAACAATATTAAAAAGTTTGGCTTGTTTTTTAACTTTTGCCGTTGCTCTACGTTTTGTTTAGACCTAGAAGAATATTAACCCTGAAAAAGCTGCTAGAGACAAAGGTAAAACCACATGCAACAAGTAAATGTATTCTTACAAGAAAAAAAAATTAAAGATGTTTGCAATTTTGTGTAACGCCGAGTTAGAGCGCAGCTCTTGAGAAGGAGGAGGGAGGGTATGCCCCTCTTTCTCCCCGCTAAGTTTAGCCGGGAAATTTTTTCGCTAGCGGGAAAATTTAGCCTTATGACGTCACGAGGGTACATTTAGAGGGAATAAATATTTTTCCACCAAATTTAGCGGAAACATTTCCCCGCTAAATTTAGCGGGAATATTGGCAATGTTAGATGCATGTGACGTCACACGCGTACGTCACGTGATGTATGACGTCACGAGGGTAACGTCGTGACGTTACCCTCGTGAAGGTAACGCTCGTGAGGGTAACCCTCGTAACCCTTGTGACGTCACACGTGACGTGGGGCGTCATTATGGGAAATGTCCCATAATGCAACGCGCGGTTACGCCGCTGACGCCCAATCTGGAAACGGGCGTCTAAGATCTGTACTCTAAAAAAAAAGATAAGCTGAAGTAAGCGAAAGTTTTTTTTTTAGTAATCAATACTTAAAGTGAGTAATGGGCTGCAGTCACTCGTATTCTTTCTTCATCAATTTCTATATTGGAAGCCATAGCTGAACGCTGGGTCAAAATTGACCTTGACTTTGCTTTTTTGTGCCCCACACCTGCAGTTCTCGGAAATAGGGCTGCCACTGAACATACAAGATGTACAGAATAGGCTATTTTCTACAGTAGAACCTCCTTGATACATTCTCGGTTGATACGTTTTCCCGGCTGGTGCATTCAAAAACGCCGGTCCCGTTTTACTTCCATGGAGATACATGTATTAGTTTCCTGCCTGTTACATTTGCTTTTCCGGTTTTTATGTCCGAAAGTGTCGGCATCGCGGCACCTCGGTGTGCCCAGCACCAGGCTGCCACGCTGGCTTTGAAGTGAAGCTAGCGGAGCATAGCCAAACCTTGCAATGCAGGTCGCACGGCACCCGTGGGCACGCAGATGCCCGTCTTCCCTTTACTCCTTTGCCCCTCTTTTCCGTTCTGCCACAGCTTCGCATCTTGCCCAGGGCCGGGTATGACCTTGGAGCACTGTTCGGACGGGGAGCAAGGCTGGCGAGGCGGCAAACGCTCGTTCTCTTTTGCTCTCTCTTTCATCTGTCCTTCTCCTTCTCTGGCACGAGGTGTGCCCGCGTGCATGCTGCGCCTCTAGTTTCTGTTCCGCTCGATTGCGTGAACCGTGGTGTTTCAGAGTATGTGCGCTTTGCACCCATCGACGGCGGTCATGGCACCGCAAAAAAGGAAGGCACTCTCTTTTTTGAAGAGAAGTTTGATATACTTTAGACGGTGGATCGCAATCCCAGCCGGAAGAGATGTGACGTTGCAAGAGACCTCGGACTCGCGCCATCAACTTTGAACAACATCGTCGCCAAACGAAAGGAGATTGAGGCGAAAGCTCTTTTTTTATCAACGTGGGAGAAGCGACAGGGGCGCCTGTCGCTTCTCCCGCGGTCGGATTGCGCGGTCAGATTGCGCCGGCGAGTACATAGCTCGCGTTGTGGGGCTGCCAAACCGCCAAGCCAGCCTACGTGCAGGGCACAGAGAAACGCAACCAAAAATGCAGCTGTAAAAAAAAAAAAAATTGGATGATGGCAAAAGCAAGGGGAAGGGCACGCGCACTAGTAGGGAGGGCAGGGAGTACCAGCTGTTGGAACAGTAGCGGTAGCATGCGCTCTTTCCCCAAACACTGTCGCTGCGGGACTCCTTAGCCCTTTCAAAATAAAATAAGCAAAAAAAAAAACCGGAAATAAGTTTTAGTTAAGTTCAGTGTGCCGACAACAACGGTTGAGCAATCGCACTTTGAACCCCTTCCCTTTGTTTACCTTTTTCTTTCGCCGTTGTTTTTGCTTTGCTCCTTTTTTTTTTCTTTTTTGTCTTTCTTTTTTTTTTTTTTGCTGCCTGAATTTATCTTTTTTGTCGCTTGCTTAACTTTATTCCATAAGTCAAGATTTTTTTTATGCCACTCACTTTTTTTGTGTGTGTGTGTTTTGTTGTTGGCGCTGTGTTGAGGTCGCAAACACCGTTGCGTAAATGCGGCGGTGTTTGTGATCTTCACCAACTAAGCTCTACTGTACTTAGCCGCTCTTAGAGGCTCTATTAGGTGAGGCCCAGTTTGTCGCGGCCTTCTGTATTAGCAGGGACGCGCGGAAATTTCAACCGAAGCTTCAGTTAACATATTTTTGTATATCAAATTATTGATATATCGAACTATTTTACAATCCCCTTTGAATTCAATACATCCGTCGTTCTCATGTCATAAGAGGAAAAGCGATTGATCACTTGAAGTGTATTCATCCCCAATGGGCCCCTAACTTGCAGTTTTTTTAATTTTCCTTTTTTTTTTTTTTTGGTTGGCATTTTCCAGTGATGCTATAAAAACTTTCGTTCTCCTGAGCAATTGAGCTGAATGAGAATAGTCAACTTGACTGAGGAAAGGTGCCAGCCAAGTGAAATACAGCTAAGCAGTAATGTCACTTTTTATGTTTTTTTCAAGTATTCCAGGGATGCAACTGCCTCGCCGATTGTGCTATTGTGCGCCTTATGACTTTTCATGCGCCACACTGATACAAAACTGATACAAAAGTATTAGTACGAAATTGAGCCAAGGTGCGCCCAAACTGAAATTATAAGCAAGCCTCGTCGAAATTAGTCGTCTCGCAGTTTCTGTTGCAACATTGACATTCGAACATTGGGTTGGTTTCCCATTTATACAATGCAAAGGATAGTCACGTAACACTAACAACTTCGCACATGCACGCACGTTTCGGTCAATTCAAGCTTCCGCAATGTCCTGGCGTCTTTCCAGCTGAACATCTGATGAGCCGATCAAACTTTCAAGGTTCCTTGATGCCCATCGTAATGGTAGCCCACTGTATACTGTAAATGAACATTACCGACTGCCCAATGTCTTTTTTAATTACATCGCACAGAATTTACGTGCAATGTGAATTACACGCATTAGACACTGGAAAGGACAACCTGGTAGAAATGTGCCATTCTTTTTTATTTATTTATTTATTTTGTTTTATTTAAATACGGATTTTCAGAGTGCAGTGGACAGACACGATGCTTTACTGGCCTACTCGTCCGAACACAATACCCGCACACTCGCAGGTGACTGCGGTGGCCACCCTGACCCAGGGCACCCTGCGGGCCCAGCGGCCGCAGACGGCGGTGGTGGGCGCTGCTGGGGTCACCACCACCATGACGATGCAGGACATCATGGCCGTGGCCACGGGGCAGGTGCGGGGGCTGGCGGCCAGCGGGGCACAGGCGGCGCTGGTCACCACGGCCACCACAGCGGCCGGCAGCGCCCCCGCGGTGGTTTCGGTCACGGGGCTGGCACCCGCGCAGCTCCAGGCGGCGCCCCAGCGCATCGCTGCTGTCGCCGCCGGTGGGTGCATGCACCAGTTAAATTGCCTGTCGTTTTTTTGCGTTGTTTGCAGACGAGGCCGCGTTTCAGTTTACCTTAAGGTTGTTTTGCGCGTTTGCGTTTGACCGTGACCCACCGCCTTTCGACCACTTGCGACAAGAGTAAAGTCCTTTGGTACATTTGTCTTACGAAAAGCATCAAATGCACCACTGCAAGAGGCGCACGCCTCGTATGTTTTGCACGTTCGCGGAACAATGGTTGGCAGTATCGGTAAGAAACGCCCTGGGTGAATTTTATCGAGGTACTTCAGACAAGAGAATGCACAGATACCATTTACCAAGTAGCTCAAAAACACTCCTGGTGTTTGTATATTTCCTACCAATTAATGCATAATTGTTTTTACCTCACGCTCGAAATAATTATGTTAGTGTTATAAGTAGGGTGTGTACTTTCCGGTGTTTATTTGTGAGAAAAATCGGCGGATGTTTTTCAGTGTTTATTTATTTTCAAAACACCGGTGTATTTCGGTGGAACGTCTCACGACGAGGCTAAAATCGATGAATATCGGTGAAAAAAAAAGCGATTGATCACAGAAAGAGAGTTGCAATTTTATTCACATAGTTCATACACTTCTTCTCTAGGAAGCAACTACTTCTAACACTTGGTTATTATAGTAGATGCAAGCATACTTTCATGCTTTCATCTACACGCAAGGAACGTGCTGCCTTCATGGCACCACGTTCCTTGCGGTTCGCAACCCGCAATTATGAAAACGCACGCTCCTGTACGACACGGACGTTGGCAGTGTCTTCCAGGAACCACAGCAACCTCTGAATACATGGCTTGCACCGACATCACTTGGCCAGACACAACGAGGAAAAGGCACGTGAGAGCCTACCCTTCAATGTGCTAATTTTTCCACAAAAGGGGGCCATGGGAGACACAATAGGGGAAAGGCGTATGAGAGCTTAGCTTCCACTGCGTTCACTAGACGCTTTTGACCCCCAGAAAGGAGGGCGGACTGACGCCACCTGCAAGCCATGTATAAACACGGGAAGAATGCAGGATCCACGAGATAACACGTTTGACGAACCTCTACGGGGAAAGGGTTTCGCTAGGTCGGAAACTAGCAACGACCGGTGTTTTTCGGTTTTAACCAGGGCGAAAATATCAAACCACCGGTGTTTTTCGGTTTTAACCGATTTTATATTTTCGTCACCGACGGATGTTTATCGGTGTTTTTCGGTTAAAACCGGAAAATGCACACCCTAGTTATAAGCGACCAGTCCTCACAGATGGTGCACAGATTTCATCCCGCAAATGCTGCAAAACTATCGGTTTACAGCCAACAACAAGTTAAAGGATCGAGGAAAGCTCCTTCGACCTCTTCACACTTTAGCACAGTGAACTCTGGAGAAGAGGCGACTTCCACGGAATTCACACAGTACCTGCATCGCGCCATCGTCAACGGCGAGAACGGGCCTAGACGTGCGCGAGCCGACGGTAGGGCCTCGCTTTCTGTGCAGTGGGCCAGGTGGCGGCAGCACCGGGGGTGGCCACGGTGCAGGGCAGTCGCCTGACAGCCTCCCAGCTGCAGGCCATGCGCCAGAACTCCCTGTACCGTCAGCAGCAGCAGCAGCAACAACAGCAGAGGCTACAGGTGAAGCATTCCCCACTGGGGCTCCCTTTTCGAGTCTTTGAACGTGAATTGTCTCGTACGACTGGCTCAGTTCGTGTAGCAAGGTCCAATCTGTGCCCCATGCTGGCCTCTGGCGGGCAACGTAGCAACTTCAGCACTGCATACTCGTTATGCAGGGGGGAGCTGGCATTTGGTGGAAGAGTGTGCGGGGAAGGGAACGAACACGTGCTTCGCTGTGTTTTTTGCTAAAGCGTACAACCTAGTGATGCAAAACTATCGATACATTGACTATCGATAGTGTTGCAGAACTATGGATAGTCGACTATCAATAGTACTATCGATCGTTTTTTGATAGTCGACTATCGATAGTCAGATTTCTGGCGACTACCGATACTATTGATAGTAGTATCGATGGATTAGCACCACTAGAGCAAACAAAGTTACCGCACTGCTGCTTGCCTCGCTTCCTCCTCTCTTTGCCCAAACACCCGTCTTCGTCATCACAGAAAGCTGAACCAAAGTTGGGATGGTAAGTGCTTGGGCTAGTTAATGTCCCATTTGAAAAAATAAAGAGAAAAAGAGAAGAGGGAGCGACGCAAACTACTGTGTCACAAAACTATCGATAGAAAACCGTCGACAGTGCTATCGATAGGTTTACGATAGCCGACTCTCGATAGTTTCCCGACAGTTGATTAACGATAATTTTCCAATAGTCGACTATCGATAGTACTATCCAGAGCGTTTCGATAGTCGACTATCATTAGTTTTTCGATAGTACTATCAATAGTTTTTCGATAGTAGACTTTCGATAGTGCTATCAATAGTTTTTCGATAGTAGACTTTCGATAGTACTATCGATAGTTTTTCGATAGTCGACTTTCGATAGTATTATCGATAGTTTTTAAATAGTCGACTATCGATAGTACTATCGATAGTTTTTCGGTAGTCGACTATCGATAGTATATCGGTAGTTTTTTTACTATCGATAGTCAGATTTCTGGCAACTATCGATACTACAGTATAGACCACTTACAATGTAACCGCTTATAGTGCAGGACCGGGTATAACGCGGCTTTTTTAAACGACCGGTTCGCCTCCCATTGAACTCCATGTAATTACATACCGCTTAAAATGCAGGCGCGCGAAGGGAAAGACCGGTTTTAGTGCGGTTTCTGGAACAGCCTGCCGACCGTGCCGACTGACCTGCACAGCGAGCACGCTTCCCTGTGCAACACTAGATAACGGCGCTGGCCGCAAGTGGCACTCGCGGGGCACGGAGGTTGCTCGAAGAAGTGAAGAGAGAGGCTTCAGTTGCCATAGCAACGGAGGGACGCACGCACGTGTCGTTCACGTGCGTGCGTCCCTCCGCTGCGTTGGCAACAACCGCAGCGACAGACCAATCGCAGATCGAAGAGAAGTGTTCGCGCGCGTTGCATGCCGGTCGCGGGCCGGCTTCTTCTATCGGCAAAAATGGCGTCGGTTGTGATTGTCGACATAGACGGCGTGGTGGAAGCTCATCGTTCCACGTAAAAGCGCTATCCTTGGCTGTGAATTTTCATTGTGTGTCGCTATGATAACCCAGCACGTACTAGAAGGGAAGATCCACCTACTCGTGCGGCGATGTCGTGGCAGCACTCTCAAGACGGCAGAAACGCCCGTGTCGTCGTGTTTGTTTACTTCGACTACAGTGGTGCTTTCTAAGCATTTGTGTTTTCGAACATCGCCCATATTTCTTATTTGGAGCATTTCATGCCTGTGCTCAAGTTGAAGGTATTACTGGTGCAAATCGTATAAAGCAGGGGTCTGAAACTCACGTTAGGAGCCGGGCCGCATCCAGAAATCCTAGGTTCGCAAGGGCCGGCACGTCGGGAGCGGGGGGAGGGGGGGGGGGGGGGGGGGGGGGGGTTTTGGACTTGCAATTGCAATTGTCGCCATTCGGAAGTGTGTGACGTCTGGTTTTTGATTTTGACCAACACGGGGTTCATGCCAGATACTATCACCGCTTTCGACAACAGTCGAAATCTGCTCCAACCATGCTGCATCTTATTGCCGCAAAAGTTTACCTGCATAAATTATGTTGCAATTTGCAGTATTACAAAGATAATGTCCAAAACAATTTGGGAAAGCCAAGATATATTTATTCATGTGAATCACAAATATGAGAGCTAAAATTCTATGAACGCTGGCTTGACACCTGACAATGCTTAGCGGTGACGAGAAAATCAATGTCCGCCTTTAACCCTTGTGCGGAGACAATCCTCATGATCGATCGCAGATGTTCGTCGATCATCTTTGACCGAAGTGTCGACTTGTTTACCTTTAGCAAGGAAAACAATTGCTCGCTCAAGTACATGCTCCCGAACATGGCGATTATGCTTACTGCTTGTTGGCGCAGCAAGGGAAAGTTTTCCTCGTCGAGGAACTTGCAAAACTTCGGGACTCCGACGTCCTCAAACTTCTGCTTGAGTACAGTGTTCGCTTGCAGTTCAAGCAGTTCCATCTGTAGTTCAGATGCAACGTCGTCCACTCGCACTGAGAAGGGCAAAGAAAAAAAGTTCAATTTCTCTTGACAGGCTGCTCACGTCCTGGAACCTTTCTTGGAATTCTTGTTGGAGATCACGCAGGAGGTTCGAAAAAATGTCGCACGATTCTTGGCTCGCGTGCCTTAGTGACTGGAGCGTAGGGAAATGGTATAGTTTGAGCAGCCTCATTTGGCGCTCCCAGAGCTGTAACTTCGATTGAAACGCCTGGTTGTCATCATACATTGTCGTAATAAGTTTGTCCTTCCCCTGAAGTTTCCCATTTAGGCGGTTCAGGTACTTGGTGATATCCGTGAGGAATGCGAGGGAGCAAAGCCAGCTGGGGTCGGACAGTTCAGCGACGGCCTTGTTTTTGCTTTCCAAAAAAGTTTCAATCTCGTGTCAAAGATCAAAAAACCTGTTCAGAACTTTCCCGCGACTCAGCCACCGTACTTCAGTGTGGTACAAAATTTCGCTATGCTCGCTGCCAACCATCTCCAACAGAGATACAAACGCTCTGGAGCGAATGAAGTTTACTGCACCAAACACAATGTCCATGACTCCTTTCATCTGCAGTGACTTGCTGCAGAGTGCCTCTTGGTGTAAAATGCAGTGGACTGCTGCAAACCGCTTGCTGATATCCAGTCCAGTGAGTTTCGTCCTTAATCGTCCGACAAGGCCGCTTTTCTTTCCCACCATTGACGGTGCGCCGTCGGTTGCGAGGCACACCAACTTCTCCCATGCCAGCCCAGCACGATCAACCACTTGTTCGAAGGCGGAAACAATATCAGCACCTGTGGTTGTTCCTTTCATTGGCACTAGGTCCAAGAGTTCTTCTATGACGTCCAAATCTTTGTTTACGCCCCTTACAAAAATGGGGCACTGAGCGTTGTCAGTAATATCGGTGCTCTCGTCGACGGCGATTGAGAATGCGTTGGAGCCGTTGCGTCTGGTGAATAATTCTTTCTCTACGTTTTCACTGAGCTCATTAATTCTTTCTGCCATTGTGTTTGGGGAAAGGCGTATCTTCTCAAATGTCTTCTTCATGCTGGGACAGACAGCGTCAGCAACCTCAAGCAGACACTTTTTTATTAGCAGGCCATCAGTAAATGGCTTGGACGATTTGGTGATAAGCTCGGAAACAGTAAAACTAGCTCTCACAGTTTCGTCGCTTGTTTTGACCGCCTTTTGGAAGAGGTCTTGCTGTTTTCCCAGCGACGCCTTAAGTTGGAACACCGTGTTCTCGTGGATCTTTCCGGTGAGGGCTTCGTACTTCTCTTGATGGCATGACATGAAGTGACGTCGCACATTATATTCCTTTGGCACAGCTACAGTCTGATGACAATTTAAACACACCACCTTGTCTCGCGATTCCATGAAGAAATAGGATAGTTTCCATCGCTCTTGAAAGAGCCGCTTCTCGTCTTCAACTTTGCGTTTTGCAGACGGCTTGGACAACGACATTGAGATGTCTGCTTGAGAGTTGACGTCGCAAGACTGAATCGTTGAAAGAGAACGCAACAACCTGTGCTGATCAGAGCAAATCTCGGGTGCACAATGCCACCGTCAACCGAAGATCACTGTGGGCTTGGAGAAGGGGTTACCGCATTGAGGGTAAAATGCTTTTCCAAGAACTTGAAGGGAAGCATACAACGGTGGAATCCACCAGTTTCGACTGAGATAAACTTGGGTGCAAAGTATAAGGAAGTGACAATGAACACAAAAGGGAGGTTGGGAGAGCCCAACGCTTTGACGAGGTTATACTCCGTTCACCCCTAAGCTGACAGTGCGCTGGAGGCTACGTGTTCGCAGGACCAATGTTATTGCTCGACTTCGCTCAACGCACAGGAGTGTGGGGAAAGGGGAGTGTTCACATGGTTCAAGGCCGACAGTTGAGTGGTCCAGCGAGTGTGCAGCTTCCATCGCACTGTCAGCTTAGGAGTGAACGTAGTATAGGAAGAAGGTGCAGTGAAATGGAGGGGGAGATTAGTTGCCTCGGATACGCCATCCGCATGTGTGGAGGTGTGGACCAGGATTGTACGAGGCTATGCTTCGACACTCAGCGCCAAGGACTCTTGGAAGCCCTTTGCCGACGCCTCAGCTACTGCGTCCGGTCCGACTATCCATTTTTAACCAAAAGCGGCCCTCTCTCTTCCTCAGACGCGATTGCATGACACCGCGCTCTATGTTTGCGTTATGTATCCTGGCATATGATCAAAGTAGAACAGCTTGGATTTTTTTTTATTTTAGCAAGCTTTTTACACACTCGGGGTGAGCGAAAGTGAAAACATCATTAAAAGACCAAAATTAAATTAAACAAAAAAAAAATTCACTTATGCTTGGCTGTGCGGGCCGCGTGTTTTTGAGACCCCTGGTATAAAGGATGCGAATTTTCACGCGTTTTCATCACTGGAGAAAAGTGATTAGGGTTAGCAATCCTGAACGCTCACAACGTCCGTCTGCAACCCGCGACACCGTTAAAAGGCTGCGCCAGGCGAAAGT